TTCCGATCTCCCCAAAACCCCAAAACCCCTTCGAGTAAATTTTGTGTTTGATAGGTAGGGTAAGTAAATTTAAAAACATCGAAAAGACTTTAATATAAAGGTGTTGAATAAGATAGAACTTTAACTGATTGCGTGTGCTTAGATACTATCTTCAAATGTTGCAAACTTCAATATTCCATTGGTGTCCTTTGGTTCTTCCATATTGAATATCCGTGATGGTTTGCAAGATTTCATGAGTAAGTTTGCCAGCTCCAGATTATGCATCGATTGGAATCTCATAGTTAACGTTATCATAAACGAACTATTTGACGGGACTAACAATAGCGGCTGTTCCTGCTCCAAAAGCTTCATAAACTCTCTTTTCTGTGCAAGCTTTCATCAATTCCTGGATTTTGAAAGGCTTCTCTGAGACCTTAAATTGGTTTTTGTTTCTGCAAATTGTCAGAATGGAATCTCTGGTTACTCCTGGCAAGATGGTGCCATCAAGAGGTGGAGTTATCAACTCGTCCTCTCCTTGCTCATTCTTCCAGAATACGAAAAAATTCATAGTACCTACTTCAGTCACGTAATCATGAAGGAGCCAGAGAGCTTAATCTGCTCCATGTAGCTCATGGCCCTTTCTTTAAGTTTTAAGTGCAGGTGCGTAATTTCTAAAATTTTAAGAATGAAATAAAACTTACCCTCCAATCTTCTTATCTCCAAATCCTTATGGCCAAGCTCTTACAATTTAAGTATCGCAATACAACTTAACTGGCTAGAATCCTCTTGGGTAGTAAGGACCAACTGGACATAAAACAACGAAAGTCTTGCATTTCTTAACACTAGATAACCCTAATTTATTGTCCATGCAAATTGAAGTTGGTCTTATATAAAGAGAATGCATTGGTCTATCTGGAATCCAATCCTTTTCAATCTTAACTAATTCCTTCAAACATTCAGTCATCTAATCTCCATCAAAAGCTGGTAGCCCCAATTACTTGTGAGAGGTGTTCATTCTCTTAAAGTTCATGTCAGGTCTGAACAAAGCGACTTTTTTGTCTACGGTAATGTATGCTTTCATACCCTCGAAGCATTCAATACTATATTGGAGAGTGGCGTTTGCAGGGTCCAGCATAAATGGCTCATTTGCCTTAATTACAGGGTTCTTCCATCCACCGTTATCTGCATCGTAATCAATGTCTAGCATGTAATCAGTTGAGATACCTCCAAAGGTATAAGCAAAGTCCTTTTGTGGCTTTTCTTTGAGATGTTGAGCCTTGTGAATTACTAAATCTTTTTTCTAAAAATGTTTGCTTGGACTATTATATTACTTAAAAGCTAGTACTTGTAGCTGCAAACATTCTATGATTTACATTTACGATAGCGTTCTTTTAGATATTAACAAAATATTAAGTTACTTGATTTGATACTAATCTTCTTGTAAGCATGTTCTGTATAGATTTCATTTCCCTTTAATAATTATTATTTAGTTTTCATAATTAAACTGGTTTAAAGCTTATTACAAGGAATTTAACTAAGGAAGCAATTTTAATCAGATAAAGAATGACTTAGTTATTTTAACTAAAGATATGGAACTCCCAACCTCTCAGTATTTGAACATAATATTTAGAAAAGATAGTTCAAACTTTAATAATCCTTATGGATAGGATTTATAAGTGAATTGATTAAGTGATCTACTTTATTATGATTCATTGATACAGGATATAAGATCAAAGATAGATTAATTTCAACTTTTATCAAATAAGTACAGTATAAAGAATGCTTAAATAGAAGTTAGATGGATGCACTAAGAATCAACTTTATATGCTCATGCTCAGAACTGTCCCATACCTCCTCTGGCTCCCATTTGCTGTTGAGCTTGAGCGACAACTTCATAGGTGCCTGCCATTCTTTTTGCACAGTTTTAAAGGCAGTTCTTCTCATTTTGACCTAAATCGTTAGTTTTAAAGTCGTTGATGCAATCACCAAAGCAAGACTTCATGATTCCCATCATCATGTGCATGGAGGCGAGTTGAGCCATTTCGTCGTATTAACCTTGACCACCGAGAGACATTTTTCTGATTGAATGATATTTATTTAAGTTTATATTTATTATTTGAGGCTCTAATTATAATTATATGCCGGCAAATTCATGGGGTTTTGGGGTTTTGGGGTTTTGGG